ACTAACAGTCTCATCATCACCGACTCCTTATCCTCACTACTTGCTCTTGATACCCTAAACTCAGATGGTCACCCGCTTGTCTCTGAAGCCAGACACAAGCATATGTGTCTTGTTGACGGGGGTTCAGGATCAAGCTGCTGTGGATCCTCTCTAACATAGGCATTAGTGAACATGATAGAGTTGAGGCCTTAGCTAAACTTTCATCCAACAAAAAACACTTTTGACTACAATCTGGGAATGTCAAACAGAACCTTAATTATTTTTATGAATTTAAGGCAAGTACAGTATAGAAATGCAAACAGGCACTAGTCAATCTATTGTCTACCATGATGAGATGCATCAAGTAAAACATGTACTGTATGTGGAGCAAGTAACAAGATAAATAGATGCTGTAACTGCTAGACCAAGGTTAGGATATAAGTACCTCTGGCTGTTTGTAAATTGTGCGGCCAGACATATGGCCACACACTCCAACACTACCTCTTGGACTGTGAAAAATTAGAACCTTTTAGGGACAGATTCAACCACACTGTGTATGCAATGACACAGCTCTTTAATATCTGATGGCAAGACAGCTGATATACTACAGCTGTATTAACACTTCATATCTAGTACCTCAGGAAATTTCTATCTACAGACCTAAACAATGTACTATAAATACTCTGCAACACTCAATGCCACTGGGGTCTAATAAACACCCTTTGTGGCCTCTACTCTGGAACCCTTTTTGCTGCACTACCACTCACAAGATGAGTATGGGGTGTACAATAAACTAGCTACTATCCACAACAAAATTCAATTCTCTCTGCACAAAATCCAAACACCTTAATGATGAAACTAAAATGTGTTGGGTCAGGCTCTCATATATCAACAACGGTACAGCTGCCATTCTTCCAGAGAACTCGCCAAGTCATTCAAGGATGGTGACCGACCTGCTGCTGTGTGCTGGACTGAACTTGTGTCAGTGTGTGAACGAGGTGTCGGCCAGGGGACCTTGACTGGTATGTGCTCTGTACCCACCATAAAAAAACACTGATAAGTAATCTGTAGTTAATGCTGTATCTTTTCACATTATCAGAGCGGATAATGGATGGCTACTTGCTATCGATGTCTGCTTCCTGCAATTAATGGTAAAAGTGCGACATTTATACACGACTATTTATACACGACTGAGCACTGCTGAAGTAACAACCTGCGCCACCAGATTCCTTGCTAAAATTACATGGATCGAGATTTGTCAAGTTATTTCTAAGCTAAATTGTAAAGCACATTCAAGACTATGCCCGGTGATGTGTATAGTTACTTCACTAGTCTGTGTTTCTTGTAATAACCAGCTGCTAACACTTCCTCTTACTATCATCAGCTGTAACACACGCAGAGAAAGAGTGCCGTGACCTGTGTACACTTTAACAAACACAGTATTGATGCACTGTACCTCTCACTCTGAAGGAACCATAAGGAATTTAACACAGTACTGTATAGGCAATAGCATTCTACAAGATCACTCCCTACTAATGCCACCACACCAAGTTTCACAGCCACTGTTTTATATTTCACAGCCATTTTTTTTATTTCACAGCCACGGTTTTATATTTCACAGCCACTGCTTTATATTTCACAGCCACTGTTTTATATTTCAAAGTGCTGTCTGGTTTCAATTTCTGACCATGATAGTTTTATTTCACCAACTGTGAATACATCAGGTGGCATGACAAGTATACAGTAATCTGTGCAGCATCAGGTTGTATAGAGAACATCTGATGTGCCTACAGTATAACACAACAGCATTTCAGGCAGGGCTATAGTGTACAGTACAACACAACACTGTATTACTAATGTACTGTACTGTATAAAAGTAAATGTTTCTCCAGTTCTGAGTGTTGTGAGTGATGTGTGCAACTTGGTAATAAGTGAATTTTCAAATCTATGAGGAATCACTTGAAAAAGTCACAACCCTCACTGCACCACTTACTGTTGTGTACACCAGTTGATCCACGTTTCCAAATATTATTTTTCTAGCATGTCTTTTAGCTAATATTTTTATGTGTAAATAGTACACATAAAATGCAGGAGGTGCTACTGTGTTCCATTGACCGTCCAGTGCAGGCAACAATGGACCAAGGCATCACAGAATCAATAGTTGTCAAGATTTTATGAAATTCTCTTCATATCATAAAGAAAAAAAAATATTTTCATACAAATATTCCAAGCCACAGCTTAGGTAACAATGTCCAGTAACAGAAGAACAAAAGGCAATAAAAGTTACTGACAGCTATACAGCATACAGTAGTATTGTACTTTCTCAATCAGCCTGATTTCAAACTGATGTCAACATTTGTTCTGTATGATGCACTGTGAGCTGAATGAAGGAAGTCATTTAAAAACGGCACATGGCAGAGTGAAATAGATATACGAACTAGGTAAAGTATACAGGACCTGTTAATGGATGCCTCTAACTGAAAATTTCCTCCACTCTATATAAATTACACTCCTGTAATGGTGACTTGTACCTCCCAAATAATCCCACAACTCATTATGGCACAATGCACTGTGTCAAAATCCCACATTACAATACACTATTCACACTTACTCAAAAGAAGGAATCAATCCCTACAAAAAAGCACAAATTGTTTATAAGCCGTATATACTGTACTTCAGAAAATCCAAACAATATATCAAGAACAGATTGGATGTTGTTATGGTACATCCAGCACTAAATGACTGGATGTTGTTATGGTACATCCAGCACTAAATGACTGGATGTTGTTACGGTACATCCAGCACTAAATGACTTGATGTTGTTATGGTACATCCAGCACTAAATGACTGGATGTTGTTACGGTACATCCAACACTAAATGACTGGATGTTGTTATGGTACATCCAGCACTAAATGACTGGATGTTGTTACGGTACATCCAGCACTAAATGACTGGATGTTGTTACGGTACATCCAGCACTAAATGACTGGATGTTGTTATGGTACATCCAGCACTAAATGACTGGATGTTGTTATGGTACATCCAGCACTAAATGACTGGATGTTGTTATGGTACATCCAGCACTAAATGACTGGATGTTGTTATGGTACATCCAGCACTAAATGACTGGATGTTGTTACGGTACATCCAGCACTAAATGACTGGATGTTGTTATGGAACATCCAGCACTAAATGACTGGATGTTGTTATGCAGTAAAGAAACGCAAACCCAACAATGAGGAGGACCTTCATCTCTACGGTCAAAACAACAAACAACCGTAATCAGGACAGGTTAGACAAAGACTCTTAGAGATTCTGTCAATATCGTTACACATTTTAAATCTTGACCGCAATCAGTAGTTACGCAAAGACTCGAGAGATTCTGTTAATACTGTTACACAATTTAAGTCATAATGCAATCAATGGTTAGATAAAGACTCCGTTGATAGGAAGCATACTAATTATGAGCATGTTGTCCTGGCTAACACCTCGATGGCAAGCCAGCATACACTAGAGGTAAGAGAAGATATGTTAGAAAATTATCCCTATAGCTAAGTAAAAGTCTTAAGATCTTGATATAAACATAATTATGACTTGATGAAAGGTGGTGTAAGTCATAAAGCAACAAGTGTGCATAATATTATATACTGTACTGTAGTAACTCATAGGGCATATTGATGGATCACCTGAAGATTAACCACCTCTGCTTATTTCACCTGAAGATTAACCATCCCTGCTTATTTCACCTGAAGATTAACCATCCCTGCTTATTTCACCTAAAGGTTAACCATCCCTGCTTATTTCACCTGTAGATTAACCACCCTAACCTAATCTTCAGCTGAAATAAGATGGGGGTGTTTAAAATGCAGATGATTCACAATGTATACACCTAATAACATAATATAATTTAAAGATACATTTCAATCAATACTTTTTTCTCCATTTTGTTTTCTAAATCTCAAGAATCAACACATTTTGGTACAATATTTGCAAAAAAAAATAAAAATAAAATAAAAATAAAATGTTGGTTGGCTTTTAATTTTTTCTCTAGAATTTACACTGATACCAAGTACTGTATGTCTGTTTTAATACACCCAATGTAAACATACCGAAGGAACATATAAAAAATGACTTTGAATTTAGTTAAGAATGTTAATTATTGTAGTCTATAGCAGGCATTAATCACTTACTGTATTGCCAAACTTGAGGAAATAACACTTGTTCATCTATGCTTATAATAAAAAATATATATAGTTCAGTGATGGATTCTTACAGTTTTAAGTTAATATGCTCACACAGATAAACTCACAATGAATATAAAATTATGGACTGTAACATTAAATAAAGTTCAGTGTTTTTTTTTTTAATCACTAAAGACACAGAGGCCACAGTAACTAATCATTTATTAAGTAATTATCTTTCCTGCTCTACATGTACTGAATAATGAGTAAAGTCGCTATTTTTAACCATTATTCACTAAAAATAATTACTAATATAAAAATTTACAAAACAATACTTCATTACAGGAATAATGAACCAACACAAGCTTCCCATGGTACAGCAGTGATGACAGCTTGGCCAGTGTGAGAAGTCTTGGTACACGTTACATAAGACGTGATACTTACATAAGTCAACAGTACTGCTTACATATTACACTGTTAACATACCTCATTATTTACATTATAAATAGGATGATTAACAGGTGTTTCAAGGTGGTTGATGATGGCATAGGTGATAAATGAAATAGTAAATTGAAAGAAAAAGAATATCACTGAATAAAAGAGTTAACAATGAAAGGACTTATGACATTACACAGTAAGTTATAAGAAGTACTGTATACCACCATACAGCCAGAAGTTTGGGAGGCCTTACAGCAGGTAACAACATCTCACCTGCCACACCACAGCAGGTAACAACATCTCACCTGCCACACCACAGCAGGTAACAACATCTCACCTGCCACACCACAGCAGGTAACAACATCTCACCTGCCACACCACAGCAGGTAACAACATCTCACCTGCCACACCACGGACAACAGCAGCACCGCCGTTACTCTCCTTACTGTTCCCGTCATCTTCATACAACCGATGCACCTCAGTCTAGCCTGGCCTCACACCCAGGCCAAACCACCACACTCAGTCTGAATTCCCACAACCGTCTCTTTAAGATGTGTGAATATATTAAGTCAGCCTGCACAGACTTTATAAAGAGGTCTCACACAAGTACTCAAAAGTCTGTTGTTGTTCTGTAAATAGTTCGCACAATATCCAACGCAGCAAGTGGTCATATACCCACAATAGAAACGCCAGCAGCTACAGACACAACCTCCCTCTACGGCGTCTGAAGCCACACTGCGTCTGCTCGGTTAAAGGGTCCAGCCCACGAGTCCCACAACAATGTCGCTATTGCCACATCTACCCCCTGCGCTGGTGCCAAGTCTCGCCACAGTAACCATGGAACTAGTCAGGTGATTCAGTAAACAAATCAACGTTTTTAGGTCATTATTCTTTGTTTAATGCCCTGTACTGAATATAAACCTAACTTCACATCATCAGTAACATAACTAATGGTGTGATATAATGTGTGCTTGCCAAATATGGAGTAAATAGTTTGTTGATATACCTGTTGGTGTGCATGTCATTGCAACGTAGTAATATGCACTTCCGCCTTGAGAAAAACTTGACCAAGGCCAACATAAAGCATTGATATGTGGAAGAATGTCAATTATATGTTACTTCCTCATATTTTAACACTAAATAGGAATAAGTTATTACATTTTAAAACACTACAATTACACATAAAATATATTTTTTAACTTAATGATATACAGTATTGGAATTCAGTTCACATTGGTCAAAATTGTCTCCGTTTGATTTCCTGTTTCGCTTGATACATAACACAAGCAAACTATTTCTAAATTACATGAGGATGAGACATTATAATGAAGTCGAAAAACTGCCCTCTAGACGTAGGTAGTAGGCAGCTACCAAACAGGGAGGTACTACTGCCTGGGAAGATATTGGCAGCATAATGTGTTGTCTAATGGTAGACCCTGCTGCCATATGTGACCAAGTCCCAGGTTGGTGATCTGACTTTCTGCCTCATTTACACAACTGCAGGGTCTCAATTGTTTCTCTTACCATTGACAACACAACATACATATATGGTTTCTCACTTTTTATTTTTTTTGTATTTATAGTTCTTTATTATTATTATTATTATTATTATTACAGTTACTGTATTATTATCATCATTATTTTATTTTTGTTTGTTTTATCATAAATTTTATTAATTATGACGATTATTTATTATTATCATTATTATTATTATTATTATTATTATTATTATGATTATTATTATTATTATTATTATTACATTTTCGCCCCCCAGGCCCCGATGTGGGTCAGTGACCTGTGTCCGGGTGGGCTAATCCCCGTAAAAAAAAATATATATATGTATTTACACACACAAACGAATCTGACCCCAAGAGGGGATAAAGGCCCTCTTGATAAATTCTCAATACAACTTGAAAGCCATTTTGAATCTTCTGTGTTGTAATGTAAATAAACCAGCAACGTTCCTTCTCACATCTCCATTCTTAAGAGGAAAATTTAACTTACGATACTTTGAAAATTTGGAAAAGACGTAATGAAAAACAAACACAATAATGGTTTATAAACTAGATCACCATTACATAAAAGTGTTACTGAACTAGAACATTTAAGTACGTACAATACAAGACAGGAGTAAAATGTATTAAACTATTACTACTGCTACTACTAACAATAATAATAATTAACGGTTTATCAAGATAACATGGCAGCCGAAGTCTGAAAATATACAATGAACAGTGCGTAATGGCTAATCTGTATAGTAATTCATTGTATAGCTGTATAAATGTATTTTATGTAATAATTTACTAGTATGGTTATATGACATTGGTATCTTTTGCTAGCCTAGTTATTTTGTTAATAGCATACACTTAACTCCTTAACACTATACACAGATTAATATACCACTACACATACTTATATAACACTAAACTACACTAGGATATTTCCCATTTTATTTATTTTATTTTGATAGAATTGTGTTCTGGTGAGATTTTTGTCCAATCAAATTTCACCTTTATTATGAGTGGCCAATGAGACATCTTTATTATTATTATTATTATTATTATTATTATTATTATTATTATTATTATTATTATTATTATTATTTATTTATTGATGAAAAGAGGACTTAAGGTTGATGTATATTGTCAGCAGTAATTCCAGTCACTGTGGTTCTGGGGACGACATTCGGGTGGACATTTAGTTAGAGAAAGTCGACGACGCTCAATATACTTGAAGGGTCCCCATCCACAGTACTGGAAGTCCTCACGCTTCACGGGGAAAGGCCTAGCTCCCGTGTGTCCCTCCCGGAGACAATTGTAGCTGTCATGTTGCAAGACGTCGTTCTGTGGGGTATCATTGCTATATAGAACTCAGTGAGGCTTTCAACTGGTACTAAAAACAGTCATGCAATCATAACTAAGTGCTGGTAACTATACAACTACTATACAACTTAATAAAATTTACTTCACTAAAATCAGTCACAATTCACTAGCACCAATCACGTGCCGCCTCTCTCACCAACAGGCTCTAAATATATGTAATCGATTATATGATTGGCCAATTGTCTTCATTATGGCGAGATGTTTACCATAGAAATAATTACATATGAATTAATTATTTACTTTAAAGATCGTAAGTTACATTATGATAACCGAGTTACTTAAGTCACCTAATATCTTAATGACATTGGATTAGTTATCTTAGCAATAACCTAAGTACCTTACTGAACACACTCTTTACCTTACCGAACACACTCTTACCTTACTGAACACACTCTTTACCTTACCGAACACACTCTTACCTTACCGAACACACTCTTTACCTTACCGAACACACTCTTACCTTACTGAACACACTCTTTACCTTACTGAACACACTCTTACCTTACTGAACACACTCTTTACCTTACCGAACACACTCTTACCTTACTGAACACACTCTTTACCTTACTGAACACACTCTTACCTTACCGAACACACTCTTTACCTTACCGAACACACTCTTACCTTACTGAACACACTCTTTACCTTAATAACGGGCCAGACTCTAGTAGCCAGCATATATTGGTCGTATTTCAGTGAATAGTTTGCGGGGTGATGAAAAATGTCTCCTCTAACTCTCCTCAGTGTGTTGGGCCATATATTGAAGCCGCCCCATAATCCTGGTGGTGGTAGAGACGTGGTGGTGGTGGTGATGGTGGTGGTGGTGGTGGTGGTGGTAGTAGTGGTAGTGAATGTGGTGGTGGTGGTAGTGGTAGTGGTGGTGGTGGTGGTGGTAGTGGTGGTGGTGTGGTGATGGTGGTAGTGGTAGTGGTGGTGGTGGTGGTGGTGGTGGTGGTGGTGGTGGTGGTAGTGGTAGTGGTGATGGTAGTGATTGTGGTGGTGGTGGCGATTGTGTTGGTGGTGGTGGTGAGGATAAGGAGAATTTAGTAATAATATTATTAATAGTAATGCTGTGATTAACTACTACTACTACTACTACTACTACTACTATACTACTACTACTGCTACTACTACTACTACTATACTTGATTCTACTACAACTACCAACATCCTGTCAAATACTACTATTACTACTATTACAATTGCTACTACAATAACTACCAACATCCTGTCAAATACTACTACTACTACTACTACTACTACTACTACTACTATTACCAGCACCAACCAGCTAAGATAATGGCCTTGTGGCTTGGATGGTCTCGTATGACGTGGAAAGCTTTGCCAGACTTCAGCCATTCCTGTACCACCACGGTCTCCCGCTCCAGGATCCAACTGGTGGGTGGGATATGGCAACTTTGGGTATGGCAATTTTGTTTATGGCAAATTTGGTTGTGGTAATTTTATGTATGACAACGTTGAATATGGCAACTTTAAGTATGATAACATTGAATATGGAAACTTTGAGCATAATAACGTCAGTCATGGGAACTATGAATATGGCAACGTCTCACTGTTTCCAATGTAAAAAAAATATATAAAAGACTAGCAATATAACTTAACTGTCTGTCTATCTGTCTGTCTGTCTGTCTGTCTGTTTACCTGTCTCTCCACATACCTGTCAGTGTCTCTACTCATAAAGGCTTCAACGGTTGGGTCACCCATTACAGCAAACCTCCACAGTCGTGCTGTCTCCTGTCTCTCCACATACCTGTCAGTGTCTCTACTCATAAAGGCTTCAACGGTTGGGTCACCCTCAGCAAACCTCCACAGTCGTCCCACCACCACCTGCTGTATCAAGTTACCTGTGGGTGGTAGTAGTAAGCTGATTAGTGGTGCTGTATCAAGTTACCTGTGGGTGGTAGTAGTAAGCTGATTAGTGGTGAAAATTATACTGTATTGTTGATATAACTGTTAATTTCATCTCCTGTGCAGGGATAAGAGGGTGCCAAATCCTAATGAGCAGATCAGTGTGTGTGTGTGTGTGTGTGTGTGTGTGTGTGTGTGTGTGTGTGTGTGTGTGTGTGTGTAAAACTGGTCATTGCAAATAGGATAACATTTTACCTTCATTTGGTAGTGTTATTTTACAAATCTAAGGCGTATACATCAATTAAGTATGTTGTCTAGCTAATACAATGTGCATGCGGATGATAAGTGTTTTTCTTTGATTAAAATGGATATACTGGAAGAGTAACGCATCAATTGTGAAATAGGAGAAGGAACCTAGCACAGCCTAACCAGATATTAACTTATCCTAATCTAACCTAACCTAACTTATCATAATCCATCCTAACCTAACTAAACCTAGTCTACCTACCTAACCAAACATATCCTAATCTCACTGACCCAAACCAATAAACTCGGGTTCATAATAATCCTGTAAATCCATTTTTTCTTATCAATATTTTGCTAATAAACTGTTACGTAAAATTCACTTGGCCAAAATTGCCTGAAGTTCCATCATGTGAACTTTTTGTTATTAAAATTTATATAGCTAAGGTTAATAATATTCTATACTTAGTTAATAACAACAACAACAACAACAATAATAATAATAATAATAATAATAATAATAATAATAATAATAATAATAATAATAATAATAATAATAATAATAATAATAATAATAATAACCCAATCTCAAGAATTTTATCTTTCCAATCAATAGTTCAGACAATTCTAAAGACACTTTTCTTCTATGACGTTGTCCTCGCAAACTACTTATATATGGCGGGTGGTTAGAGGTTAGTGGGGAGGGGTCATTTGCGAACCTCATTTGCGAGGGAAACGTCACAGAATAAGTGTCTTAGAATAGTCTAAACTATTGATTACAGATATAGAATTCTTAAGATTCCCATGTTGTCAGAAATTAAAATTTACCGCCATTTATTTAAAGTGATTCTTGGTTGGCCTTCTTAATACTACGGTAACCCCTTTAAATTCATTCAACGTCATTTAATTCTCGCATTTAATCTCATTCAAAATTATTTAAGTCCTTCGTTTAAACTCATTCATGAAGGGTTTACTTACGCCCGTTTTCTGTTGCAATAAAAGAAAATGAAAATTATATATGGGACGACTCCTTTATTTTTATTATAGTTGTAAGATATAGCAATTATTTTACTTTAGTATACTTTATTCTATGTTATTCTCTTCGCCACTGATCGGCCTGTTAGGGGAGGATCCAGGGGGAGTTCTGGGGGTCCGGACCCCACCTTTTCATTAGAAAATTCCAATACTTTTTCGTTAATGCAGTATTGTACTCGGGCGTTTTTGTATAGTAAAAACTAATTACTATTCACCTCAGAATATCTCCTGATAATAAGTGCACATGGCTTAAAAATGGCCTGAAAATACCCATGATATTGGTAAGATTAAAAAATAAATTATCGTGGGCTTACAGAGTCCCAAACCCCAGCTGAGAGGACTGGCTGTGCTCGCTTTGTTCCCTCACCCACAACATCTTGAGATATTCCTGGATGCGCCCCTGCCTGTTAGTAGCTTGGGAGGTCGGTCACGTCTCTATTAGCCACTGTTGGCACTGTGGACATGTACTGGCTCTCAGTGGCGAAGAGGATAAAATAGAGCCAGGAAAGTTATAATTAAAAAAAACAAAAACAATTCCCCTCAAGAAAACTAATGAAACCAATCAATTGTGAATTTCAGACTTATACCTCAATATTTACACGAAGTATTCAGATTACAGTGAAAGAGCTAAGAACATTATAATCGTTGGTAGTTTCAGTGTGATTTTTGTAGTGGTTGAGGCCGCACTGGTGAATAATAAAACTAACTCTATTGACTACAGCAGTAATAGTGTAGCGCGCCTGAACACTGTGAGGGAGAAGACCATCGTTTAATACTCTCAGTATTGACAACCCCTCCCCCCCCACACACACGCACTCACACACACTCACCAAGGTCCGGCAGCTCCGTAACCGGACACAGATCAACGTGAGAGTGGGCACAGTAGATGCTACAGAGGTACTTGGTGGCGTTGTGGTCTTGGGAGGAGACGTTGTGGTAGATTCTCATGAGCCACCCAGGGTACAGGGTTGCGATGGCCAGAGCTCGACCATACAGCGGCCTGAAGTACTTCTTGGAGTGTTCTGAGTCTGCAGAGGTTAGGTTAGGTTAGGTTAGGTTGAAGTGTTATTTTGGTTAGTTTATGTTGGATTGTGGTAGTTTGGTTAGGTTAAGTTAGATTAGGTATTTGGTTATGGTTAAGTTAGGTTTGTGGGTTCGTATAATTGACTCTCTCTCCACCTACCATAATCGGTCACGGGGTCGACGCTGTAGTAGGAAAAGGATACTACTCTCTGCCCTCCTCCTCGTTGGGTAGAGTAATCAGAGCAGGTCGACTCGCCCTTGAAGGTATAGTTTTTTATGAACCAGGAAGGGTAGAGCCAGGGTGTGGTAGCAGCTGCCTCTCTCGCTGAGTTTAAAGCATTCTTGTCTAGCCCGAACCTGTGAATAGATGGTGGGTGGATGGGTAGGGTAGGTGGGTGGGTAGGAGGGTAGGTGGGTAGGTAGGTGGGTGGGTGGATGGATGGATGGATGGATGGATGGATGGATGGATGGATGGATGGATGGATGGATGGGTGGATGGATGGATGGATGGATAGATGGGTGGGTGGATGGATGGATGGATGGATGGATGAATGAATGATAATGAAACAAAAGCCTGTTTATACAATTACAGCAGACAGGTAAAATTTACTGGGCTGACATGTGAGGGGAACACTATCAAATTAGTTTTTTTCCCTTTTTTTTACCTAATTATTTCCATCGCCTCGCTAACGATGCACACAATAGCACCCGAACAACAACAGACTCAGCTAAAACACCTGTCAGATTTTTTTGTTTCATCTAACAATGGAGAATTAAAGGTGTTCTTGTTATACAGGTGTGTGTGTGTGTGTGTGTGTGTGTGTGTGTGTGTGTGTGTGTGTGTGTGTGTGTGTGTGTGTGTATGTGTGTGTGTGTGTGTGTGTGTGTGTGTGTGTGTGTGTGTGTGTGTGTGTGTGTGTGTGTGTGTGTGTGTGTGTGATGAATTTCGACATCCATAGTACTTGACCTGACTTGACCTCGCTTCACCTGCCCTGACCTTACCTGTGTTCTGAGGTATATTTAACTAATTAATCCATACACACATACTATACAACGTCTCTTCCCAGTACCTACCTGACGCAGGGACAGTTAGGGACGGTATACCCTTGAGTAGGCAGCAGTAGGGGGTCCTTATTGTGGTTGTCAAGGGGGTGGTTGTTGTGGTTGTCGGGATGCTGGTTGTTGTTATCGATCTTTTTCCCTCTGCGTACCTGTTGAAAGGTAAGGTGTTTTAATTAGTTGGTTGGTGGTGGTGGTGGTAGAGGTGATAGTTGTGGTAGTGCTGGTTGGTTTTGGGTGGTTGGTTGGTTAGTTGATGGTGGTTGTGATAGTGCTGGTAATTGTGGTTATAATTGTGGTAACTGAGAACTCACACCTTCTCAGAACGGTGTTAGAGAGATGACTCAGCAAATGATTAACATCACTAACTCAACGAATAATTCTGCACTGTGGTGGGAGGGAGGAAGAGGGAAAATGGAGGGGGGAAGGGAAGGAGGAGAGGGTGAGGAAGGGGAAGGAGAGGAGGGGGAAGGGAAGGAAGGAAGGAAGGAAGGAGGGGTGGGGGGGAGGGAAGAGTTATGAGTAAGAGGAAGATTTTACCTAACTACTATTAACTAAAAATATATGTGTAGTAATTTTAATTTGTCTTTTATACATTATAATAAGAGAGAGAGAGAGAGAGAGAGAGGGAGAGAGAGAGACTACTAGGGTCACAGATACACTACCAGGGCCACAGACACACCACCAGGGCCACAGACACACTACCAGGCCACAGACACACCACCAGGGCCACAGACACACTATCAGGGCCACAGACACACCACCAGGGCCACAGACACACTATCAGGGCCACAGACACACCACCAGGGCCACAGACACACTATCAGGGCCACAGACACACTACCAGGGCCACAGACACACTATCAGGGCCACAGACACACTACTACATTTTTGACCACCGAAGGGTTAAGACGTACCTGGCGCTCCTCTCGGAACAGCCAGGTCAACTGTTAAGTTGTCCCATACCAACCCCCTCCCCTCAACCCTCCTCCTCACCGGAATATCAACAAGTTCTCGCCAGAAGTTACAATTTCATTTAGGAAAGGAACGGAACCAGTGTTAAACAGAGGTGAACAGTGGTGAACAGTGCTTAAGTCAGTGAGAACAACTCAACAGTAACAGTCGTACCCAAGTTAACCTTCACACAGTGAGGTCCCAGGTACCCAGTGATAACGGCCCGTGAGACCCAACAACAACCAGCGATGTGTTAATCCGTCTACGATAGGAAGGCCTGGGACCACACCTCACTCACCTCATCTGTGAGGAATTACTACACCACGTGATGCCCCTCATAACACCATCTGTGAGGGAGTTACTACACCACGTGAGGTCCCTCATAACACCATCTGTGAGGTAATTACTACACCACATGACCCTCATAACACCATATGTGAGGGAATTACTACACCACGTGATGCCCCTCATAACACCATCTGTGAGGGAACTACTACACCACGTGAGGTCCCTCATAACACCATCTGTGAGGGAACTACTACACCACGTGAGGTCCCTCATAACACCATCTGTGAGGTAATTACTACACCACGTCAGGCCCCTCATAACACCATCTGTGAGGTAATTACTACACCACGCCAGGTCCCTCATAACACCATCTGTGAGGTAATTACTACACCACGTGAGGTCCCTCATAACACCATCTGCGAGGGAACTACTACACCACGTGAGTTCCTCCTAACACCATCTGGGAGGGAGTTACTACACTACGTGTTTGCTGTTCAACACCTACATTAATCTGTATGTTCGTTTACCTTTCTCTAATGAAGGCTTTTGTTAAACCACCAATGTATGTAATAAGTCATTTATGTCCAATGTATATTTTCAGCCTTCGGGCTGCAGAACTTTTCAATAAACCGTTAATTATTATTATTATTATTATTACAGACACACTACCAGGGCCATAGACTAACTACCAGGGTTAACGTTAGGTACGGTTAAGTTAAGTTAGGTTAGGTTAAGCTAGGTTAGGTTAAGTTAGGTTAGGTTAGGTAACTCACCTTCTTCTGGCTTGTCTTTAACGCCTCCTGGAGATCCTCGTGGTGGAGATGGAAGGCGGCGTCTGATGGTGACGAAGAAGACAAAGGGTCGAACCACGACACCAGCAGTAAGGTGACGACCAACATGATCACCACTGTCACCACCCTCATCATCATGCGTACGACTACTCCTCCACGACGGCAATGGTACATCTTTTGGTGAACCTGCTGAGCTGCCTCCAACACCCGTAGAAGGAGTTGACTGACGTTACCACCCTCCACTAATCCCTTCCCCCCTCCCCGAGATGACCACGAGAGCACAAGTGTCATTATATGTTCACTCAGCAAGACCCCCGCCCCCTCACTGACACACCACACACGCCATTCCCCAATTATGAAACTGTATATTTTCAGCCTTCTGGCTCAAGGATCAATACAAGGCTCTCCTGTCTATAAGAGGTGATATAAGTCTGTCCTGTAATGTAGTTTTCTTTGATTTAATATTTATTATTTTATGGATTACTCTGACAAAAATAAGATCTTTATCTTAAAGAATAATTAATATATGGTTTTTATATTTTTAAATTTCTAGATGAACAATGTGAACAACATCTGTATACTAGTACATGAACGTGACATACTGTACAGTACATAGACGTACCGTACAGGTATACAAACCGTATTTTCGTAATGGCCATCCATGAGAGACACGAGGGAAGGTGGCGATTTATACACACTAAGTATACAAACAATGTACAAAAACACACAATGTACACAGAGAGAGCAAACATAAACAATAACAAAGGTGAGACACGAGATCTGCTGGAGACATACACACTCACACACACTGTCGACACACTAATCTCTCTTTCTCTCTTTGGATGATAGATAGAAGGCTTAAGTTACAATGATTTTGTCATCATTAGTGGGAGACCATTTCAAGGATTCAATACCATCAGGCTTAAGAGTTGGTAAAAAACTCCTGACAGTAAGACGGTAAACAGTAAGTAGACTAAAGGACCTGAAAGGTTTCATGACGAGTGTAACCAACACAGACCTGACGTGTAAAGACATCCTGTAGACCAGTAATGTGAGTTGATTCTTTGATTGATTGATTGTTTGATTGATTGATTAGTGTATGTATAATGGCATTTAGAATTTCCAAATTCCTTTTAAACTTAAAAAAAAATAATAAAAATAATAATAATAATAATAATAAAAATGACAAATAATATAATAACAACTACCACAAAGACCACAACAATCATCCTTACCCCCCCTCTCCCTCCCACACACCCCCTACTCCAACCTCCCCCTCCCTCCCACACCCCCTCTCACATCCCCCACCTCCGACCCCCCTCCCTCCCACACACACCTCCCTCAACCCCCCCCCCTCTACAAATTGAATAAAATAACATCTCTGGAGCCACGAAATTGGAGATGGGGTTGTGGAGAAGGGAAGGAGGAAGGGAAAAGAGCGTTAAGCTGGTTATCTTGTGTGTTCAGCCTACCACTACCACACTTCCCTCTACCACCACCACCAGCCTACCACTACCACACTTCCCTCTACCACCACCACCAGCCTACCACTACCACACTTCCCTCTACCACCACCACCAGCCTACACTACCACACACTCCCTCTACCACCACCACCAGCCTACCCACACCTCCCTCTACCCACCACCACCAACCTACCACTACCACACCTCCCTCTACCACCACCACCAACCTACCACTACCACCTCCCTCTACCACCACCAGCCTACCACTACCACACACCTCCCTCTACCACCACCACCAGCCTACCACTACCACCTCCTTCTACCCACCACCACCAGCCTACCACCACCACACTTCCCTCTACCACCACCCCTACCACACTTCCCTCTACCACCACCACCAGTCTACCACTACCACACTTCCCTCTACCACCACCCCTACCACACCTCCCTCTACCACCGCCCTTACCACACCTCTCTCTACCACCACCCCTACCACACCTCCCTCTACCACCACCCCTACCACACCTCCCTCTACCACCCCCCCTCTCCCCTTCCACCACCACAGGGGCATAACCTGGTACCCCACTCCTATGCCACCAGTCGCGGCATAGACTAATACACCACTTGCTATGCCACCTACATAATGCTTTGACTTACTATGATGACAGTATAATGACAGTATAATGACAGTATAATGGCATTATAATGACAATATAATGAGAGTATAATGAGAGTATAAAGACAGTATATCGAGAGCATACTGATAGAATGATAACAGTATAATGACAGACGAAAGAGATGTAGAAAGCTGACATCATTAGAGCTCTTACATCACACCGGCAGTTATCAGTGAATCTCTTCTTTATCGTCTCTCTATCTCTGTCTCTCCTTTTCTCTCTCACTGTTATCTTTATCTGTCTTATCTTCTGGTGTCTGTCTGTCTGCCTGTCTGTCTGTCTTTTATCTTATACCATCTCTCTCTCTCAGGGGCGATTCTACGGGGGGCCAGGGGGGGCCATGGTCCCCCAGATTTTGGGCTGGCCCCTGGGTTGGCCCCCCCCCCCACTTTTTATTCTCAAAATTGTAATTCCAAAAACATTCCCAAAACCAGGAAGTGAGTCAAGTGACTCAGGCAATGGGCGAGCCGCACGTCAGATGCAGGCATGGGTGAGGTGAGATCACTGAGGTGAGGTGAGGTGAGGCCCGGAGGGTGCAGATATGCACGCGCTGAGGGAATTGATTTAGATTGTTTCGTCGACGAGTTTGTCAGCCGACATAATAATCGTAGGATTAAGCTGCACTGAATATACTGCTACCGTCACAGTACCGTGTGAACATAAGAACATAAGAATGGAGGAAACTGCAGCGGGCCTATTGGCCCATACTGGGCAGTTCCGTTTACACCCAACCCCTATTGCTCATATGAGCATCCAACCTATGTTTGAAGCAATTCAGCGAATTCGAGTTAATGATGATATTTGGTAACTTGTTCCATTCATCAACTACTCTGTTTCCAAACCAGTGTTTACCTATTTCACGCCTAAATCTAAATTTGTCTAATTTAAAACCATTGTTACGAGTTCGCTCCTGGTTGGATAATTTGAGTACCTTTGTAATGTCCCCTTTGTTTAGCCCTGTCTTCCACTTATACACCTCTATCAGGTCGCCCCTCGCTCTACGTCTCTCGAGGGAGTGCAAATTAAGATGCTTTAACCTGTCTCTATACTCAAGGTTCCTAATGCCCAGGATTAGTCTTGTCATTCTCCTCTGAATTCTTTCCAAGGATTCTATATCCATTCTGTAATACGGTGACCAGAACTGAACTGCGTAATCCAGGTGTGGTCTCACAGAGCAAGATACAGTTTTAGGATGACCTCGCTAGTCTTGTAACTAACACTCCTTTGTATGAACCCAAGTACTTTATTAGCCTTGTTACGAGCAAAACACATTGTTTACTTGGCTTAAGGTTCCTACTTATCATTACTCCTAAATCTCTCTCGCAGTCGGATTTCTCTATGGCACCGTTGTTCATCTGGTATCTGGTTTCCCTGTTTACATCTCCTATACTGAGTACTTTACATTTGTCGACATTGAATTTCATCTGCCATTTTTCAGACCATTGGAAAAATTTGTTTAGATCTTCCTGTAGTTTTGCCGAGTCCTCGTCAGATTTGATAACACGTCCTATTTTAGTGTCATCAGCAAATTTACTTATGTTGCTGTCTATGCCGATATCTATGTCGTTTATGTATATAATAAACAATAATGGTCCAAGTACTGAGCCTTGGGGAACTCCACTTGTGACGTTGCTCCAATGGGACTTAGTGCCGTTAATGCTCACTCGCTGTTTCTGTCCTGTAACCACGCCCTAATCCATTTAAGGATGTCACCTTTTGATGCGCCAGGCTTCTACCTTTCTAATTGGTCTTTCGTGGGGAGGACTCTGTCGAGCTTTGCTAAAGTCGAGATTATACCACATCATAATTGTGCCCCGTCCACTGATTCGAAAACTGATGAAAGAATGTTAATGGGTGGTTAGGCAGAACGTCCGCTTGTGAAGCCATGCTGGAATCATTGATAATCTGGCTGCTTCTCCAGGTGATTTCGAATAGAGTTTGAAGGCGGGTGCTTCCATTTGCTACTATTGATGTTGAACTGATTGGGCGGTATAATGTAACAGTTGCATGCGGCGCCCATGCCTGAAAACGTAAACGTTGTGTCCATAATCTCCATTATGTGTGAAGCGTGAGATCATTCATTTTTTCGCTGATGTATGTACAGTACATACATTGTAAAGACACTGCTATATTTTTCAATGTTTGTTATGTGGTACACCCGCCCTTTATGGGAGCAATAATACAGTTTTAGAGATATGTTCAGGTGTGTCAATACTCCAATGAATCATGATTAGTGGAATAAGAGCGTTGCCATTATACCGCCATATGCTGATTATTTTAGACTGGCGTCATGAGAGACGTCACTTCACATTAGTCAATCAAATTGGTGTAATAATGCCAAAAACTGCATCTTGCAAGTTGTACACAGGTTTGGTTTTGCCCCTCCAACATTTACCTTGGCCCCAAAGTGGCCCCCCCCCCCCACTTTCCGAAGGCTAGAAACGCCACTGCTCTCTCTCTCTCTCTCTCTCTCTCTCTCTCTCTCTCTCTGTCTTGTTTCCTCACCTCCTTCTCTACACCATTTCCTTAATCATCACATTCTGCTTATTCTATATTTATTCCTCTGTATTCATTCTCCTCTTCCCCTTCTCTTCCCTTCACTGCTCTCTTCTTACCATTTATTGCCCGCTCTTAATGTTCCTCCTTTCCTCTTCGTTTTCCTCTCCTCTCCTCTCCTTCCCATGTTAAATACACCCATAGGAAGAGAGAGAGAGAGAGAGAGAGAGAGAGAGAGAGAGAGAGAGAGAGAGAGAGAGAGAGAGAGAGAGAGAGAGAGAGAGAGAAAGAAAGAAAGAAAGAAAGAAAGAAAGAAAGAAAGAAAGAAAGAGAAAAAGAGAGAGAGAAGAGAGAGTCATATATACATCAGTGTCCCCTCTCAATAGCTCTCACGTTTTCTCTTACATCAATAACTCTTCACGTAGTCTTATACTAGTAAACAATAGATGGAAATAAATAGAAACACTAAAAATATATAATAAATAAGGAAAGAAAAAAAAGAGACTAAGGCTCTATCTTGTCTCTGTTATCGCTGGTTATCACGTTTCATATACATTAGTTCTTCCTGCTTAAGTTATCCACGTTTTCTCTTTTTAAGGAATTTGGTAAGACATGTAAACAAGACAAGATGTAACACCTGTAAGACATAGGGA